GAGGGTTGAGGGGGTTGGCTTCGTATCCCTGGACCCCCCCCCCCCTTTCAAATAATCCTGGATCCGCCCCAAGGTTTTGAAGTACTTAATAGTGCCATTAAATTGGCGTAAAGGAGAATTTTGAGAAACCCATTTTGCATTTTTTTAACCGAAAATTGCAATTTTGACGTTATCGGTAAGATGACATTTGTGCAAATGGTTATGAATTTAGTCAAAGAACAATGAAGATTTTTTTCTTTCCAAAATAAAAAAACATTAGGAGGAATTACTTTCTTTGCTAATCCTAACATTACCCAAATGCATGGGGCTTCACAATTTTAGTGAGATATCTTATTAGGCGATTGCATTATTAAAAATTGACTGAGAAGGAAATCAAAATTTAGATTGCACTGTCTCACTAAAAAATATTCGATAAAAGAAGAGAGACAGAAAATATAAAGGGGTACATCAGCTCCGTGGGTCTGCCAGTAGATGGCGCGGAGGCACCAGCACTGCTACTAAAATCTCGTGTAATATCGCTCTCGATTTCGCACCATATTTTAACATGGGTTGTAAACACGTGTCGCTAACTGTAAACTAACCAAACGTAAATTATTCGAATGTGGTTCCGTGACAACGAGAACAAGATGTGAATTGACTGGGAAGTATCTTTTTTTATTTTTATATCGTCCTTGAAAAATACTGCAGCTTTCTATTTTTATTGAAAATGAGATTGTTGGAGCTGTAGGGCCTCTATGTCCATCACATCTGACAAATGTTTTGATTAGGTGACGGTATAACTAGCCCTTCGCTCAAATTTCGGTTGTGTCGCTGCTGTGTACTTATATTTTTACTCTCAGAGGAAATGAAGACCGATATATAATTGTTGATATATGAGAAATCTGTTTTTTTTATATAATTGAAATATCTGTTGATGTATGTATATTTAAAATTTTATTTACTTTTAGGATTTTTGAATGATATATGCAGGTCATCTTTCAAATAAATCTGTAAATAAATAAGGAAGGTCGACTTGTAAAGAATACACCTCCCCCCAAATATGTTAGTTTGATTTACCAATGTTTCCTAAAATTTAGTTGTGTACTGACCTTGATCAATGTCTACTCTATTGAAATATAATAGTTAGACAATTTACGTGCAGAACACTGATTTTTCTGTAACAACAACAACAACAACAACAATAATAATAGCAATAATAATAATTAAATGATTATTTTTCAAAATCGCACTGCACATACGTTTCCATGCTGTTTTCAAAAAGCTTAAGAGAATCCAAAACCATTGGTAAAAATCCCGACCGTAAATAGATGTTTTAGTTTGATTAAAAAATTGTTCTTAATATTTGCTCGCGTATCTCAAATTATGACTTCACGAATCTTTCACTATAATCTGGCTATTTGAACCAATACGACGTGAAATATGCCAGATGTATAAACAAATGTGTAATTCACACTGTATTTGCTGTATTACTAGCGCATTGTTTTACATACTTTGGTTTTTTTTACAGTACATGAAGATTGTCTTTCAAATATACCCTAAAATAAAAAAGATAGGCCCACTTGTGGAGTATGATTCCCTCTCTCCCCCTAAAAGAAATGCACCAGTAAGCAAAAGAGCGATGTTTTCCTAAATTTAGTAATGCACGACCTTGATCTACACCTCTCCTATCGAATTATACAGAATAGGGCGGCAATTTATTAGGATTACTCTTTTTTTTTTTTCATAATAATGCGCTTCAGCGCTGCTTTCATAAAACTAAAGAGAATCTTAGACCTTAGAAAAAAATTCTGATTAAAAGTCAGAGACTAAAATTAATAGATCTAATGATCATATAAGAACATAAAAGTCAAAACACTGAAAATGGAAATTAAAACTTTAAATTAGCTGGAGAACTGTAAAAAAATGTTTTTACACCGTAAAAAAAGACAGAGCTTGTTTCTGTTCTGGTAAAAGGCTGTTATTGAGGTTCGTTTGAAGTACCTATTCAGTGGCTGATTAAAAAGAATTTGAGCTGCCGTGGAAAATGTTCTTTTTTCCCCTTGCGTAACATGAGCAATTTTTTGTTCATTTCTTAAGTGACAGGCTATCATTATAAATGATTGGGCTTACAGTCTCTTGTAATGTTTGTGAATTCAGGAAAATATGAGAATCAACATCAACAAAGTTTTGAGGACGTTCCTTAAACTTTTGGACGGTGTAAACTCATAGGTCGGAAACTTAACAAACAAAAGAAAACAGGTGAGATGTTATCTTAACCGGCAGGTGAGGAAAACACCAAGGGAAACATTGATGTTTTTTCATTCATTCATTTATTTATTGACTTGTCATGTGCTCAGAACACCAAGCCCTTATAAGACACCTGTTACGTAAATTTTTTTCTGTCTCAGATAAAAAATTCTTAACAATAAATCTGGCTAACTGCCTAAAATTATTTGCCATTGAATCTCCTATAGAAATTTCATTTACTTCATTGTTTGGATGCCCAACCTTTTATAAATTTACACTTTTCCTCTATATAAGCAGTCTGAGTGCACTGAAGAAAGAAATGACTCATCTTATAATGCCTTTTTCGCATAGTTGGCATCCTTTTAATAGGCGTATTTGGGCATCGTCCAGCTTCTACATGTAAAGGAAAAATCCCCATCAGAAATTGACTTAAATGATTTTTTCCTTCCTATTTAATTCTTTTTAGAAATATTTTTCAGTTTTCAGTTTTTTAAATCCCCAAATATGTTCTGAGTTGAGGCATTTTAAAAATTCTTTTTCATTAAATTTGTAATTTTCCATTAAAAAGTTTTTGATGCTATCTTTATCAACAATTCACTTGTTAAAAATAATTTTCCATATCACAGAATCTGATAATCTCTCTCACCGCAGAGCACTAATTCTTAATTCCCAATTTATAATCTTCAAGAAAACTTAGTGTAACAAGTCTTTCGTATTGAGCAAGTACCAAATTATTCCAAAATCTGACCACGTTTACCCAACAGATACAGAGCGTCATTATAACATTAGCATAACGTTTTTAAAAATATATATTAGACACGTTATGGTAACGTTTTAATAACGCAGGGGCGGATTTAGGCCGTCTTCTGGGTCTTCCGGAAGACGGTTAGATTTTCAAGTTTACATTGACAGGTATCTATTTTTTCTGTCGGAAGACGGTCAAAAATGGAGGATGGATCAACAAAGATAATTTGGAAGACTCTCAGAAAATATCTCTGGATCCGCCCCTGTAACGTGCTGTGTATACTGGATAGGCTAACCATCTGCCAAACTTTAATGGGATCCGACCTAAATCACCATATAGTCGAATTTTTGGTGCAAACGATGAACTCATATGTAATATATAAGAGCTTTACACATGGCGTTTTCACAATCTTCATTGTTTGAGAAACCCTAAACTCCTGACTCATACTCTAAAATTGGGGTTACACAGCTGTTAAACAATTTCTGATATGTGTGGAATCCCATTTGACCAACTTTTTGATTTTGCTATGATTAAACCAAGTGCCCTTTTAGAAGATTCTGATAGTAATTTTGTAGTGTAACTCTAAACATGCTTCTAAATAAATCCCAATACATATGATCACCTTAAATTGGAATTGGGTTCGAAAATGAAGCGTTTTGTCTTTGTGCAGACGCGATTGATGGAAAGCCATTATTTCAAACGAAGCACCGAATCCTTGAGAAATTGGTGCCCACCTTGTCCATTTTGACATCCAGGTCCATGTACGCACCAATACTGAGGCATGAATGTGATGAAAATCACCAGTAGTTTCAAACGCATTTATTTACAAAATGGCCGCTTTAGGACTCGTGGTTCAACAGCGGTGGGCGCCATTTTCATGTTAGGGACAGTTTTATTGTTAATTCAGAATATCTGAAAAATGAAGCTTGGGTGGAGGAATGTAGCGTATTTTTAGGGGGAGGGGGGTTAATCGTACCAGTATATTCATGTAACTATATGTTAAATGCAGTTTTGTTCCCACGCACTGTTAGGAAAGTAAGAAATTTACCATAAAAATGATACAAATGGCAACAGTGGATCTTCATTGTGTTTGTTGGGCTAATGGAGATCTGCAGTTCTGGTGAATCGAGTAGAGGAGACCGGTGTGACAGGAATGGTAGTCTGCTAGGGGCCTTAGTCGGTTTCCCAATACTTTGTACAGGTGAAATTCCTCCCATATACTAACACTGTACTCTGACTAACCCCAACCTGTACTATCATATGGGACGTCCATTCCTAAGTCTACCACTCCTTTAAAACGGGTCTGTTTATTATTATTATTATTATTATTATTATTATTATTATTATTATTACTACTATCATTTTTTTTTTTGTTTCTGTTTTTTCTTTAGCATATACCCGAGAGTTATTGAATGCGTCGAAGAGGTAGGCCTAGCGAGCAGAGATTCGTGCGATCCGCAAGTTGCTAAACCTTTCAGAGGGACGGCAGAAAACCCAACGACCCTGTAGGAAATCCTGGATCTGCCCCTGTATATAATGCACGTCTTCAACAACATCAAAGAGTTGTTGGGTTCTTACATCTACAGCGGGATAGTCAATTCTAGGGGCTCTAATTCGAATTGGAAAGGCTTGGTATCGGCTCGAGTTATTCCCGGAGTAAAAAGTTACACAACGCCGCAGCTTTATTTCCAAAACCAAAAATCAATTTATTACCTGGACATTATCTGGTTTTACGGAAGAAACCATTGTGACAGAAATCGCGAAATCTTAAATGAAGTTTAAGTGAGATAAGGGGCATTTGAACAGAAGACAATTTCGACTGATGATTAAACAAGCCGCGTGCACATGCATGCGACAAATTAATTTGTAAGTTTGGTGATTATTATGCCATCTCTATACACGCCTTCCCGTTTTTTTGACAAAAAAATTATAGAATATTTTTATTCAACTATTATGTACAATTTTAAACAGTAGCATTCAATTTCAATGTACTTTAGTAATCATTAATCAATTATGTACACGCCATAAATTAATAAATGGTAGAACTATTGAAATTGTTTCCTTTCCCGTCTTTAATCATCTAACATCAAAATGCAAACAGTCCGATAATGCTGGTCTTGTGGTCGGAAGCTGGTACCCGCTGCTTGCGGGCCGTGGGGAAAAACCCGTCTAAACCCTTCGTGGGGAATGCCGGGAAAGTGCCCACGCCCGGATAGTCAGTCTTTATAATATAATAACATCAGTTTTTTTTTTCATTTGCACTGCACTTTACAGTTCAATAATATCGTTCCCTTTTAAACAGCATGGTGCGACTGATCGAACTAAGTCTTTCTTTCGTGACAACAAACTATTCCACACTATACTGGTACGTCACATGACGAAGTACAAGAATTTACCAAAGTAATTCATACAGAAAGAGGTACTGCAGCCAATCAAGACACATTTACTACAGTCATAACATAATTAAAAAGAGAACTTTATCCAAGTGGATAAATTCATAAATAAAGTGACTCTATCATTTTACAAGTGAAAACATCCATCATAACTTGATTAAAATCCAAGTATAAAATACGTACAGAGATTCAGGTTATATGATTAAAACTCGGGCACTCAATGATTTAAACTAGACTTTGACATATAACTCGTTTTAAAATAGAAGTTTCTCAAATGTAGTTTTGCCATGAAAACGCAACTTCCTGTATGATACAAATAAAGCATAAAGCAAGCTTGCTTCAAAATATTTCGTATCTTAAACTGTATGACCGTCCATGTAAATTTCAATAGGAATTTTTTGATCCGGAGAAAAGAAGGTGCATATGTGATGAACTGGATATATTTGTCAACCATAACACTTGAGAAAATCATAATATTAGTAATGTGCGATCCTCTATCTTGAGAGATGACTGTGTGCACCCAGTCATCCCTCACGAGGAGCAGACTGTGTGCAAAAAATAATGAAGTATTTTTTCAAACGTAAAATATTTCACAGATTTTGCACAAGCTATCAATGTAAAACCTCTTCATGTAAAAGAATTTACATCAAGCCAGATTTTACAAAGTTGTGAGGGTTGTTAGATATAGTTAGTGTGCTGGATATGATCTTCTCAAACGCTATACTGACGAACAACTCCACGTCATCAAAAGCACAAATTTGAAAAACGACTACATCACTAAAATTGAAATGAAACACAGACGGCCATAAGTGGTGGCAATACCTATCTGCATTTAGAATGTGGATAAAACATGTGGATATGCAATTTTTTTTTAAAATATAACTGTAGAGGCAGACTAATTTTTCATACAGAACCACAATTCATCTTATTCAATTGATTTTTTAATGGAATTATGAATGATCATACTGGACTTCACTTATTCTCTTAAGCTACTGAAATAAAATGGTTCACTGTCATAAGTGAAAAAATAAAACTTACTAAATGCAATTACATCCGACTCACATCTGCGACCCATGAACCGCAAAAATTCTCAATATCCAAAAAAACTCGAGTACATTATTAGATGACATTCCTCTTACATTCAGTATATCATGACCATTCCACATTCTCTAATTTTTTCAGACGAGCTGTGCCTTTAAAAACCAAGACTGCTAGGACGTCCGATCATCAAATAAAATGGCTACTGGGGCTCTTTGCCAGCGCCATTAAGTGTTTCACATCTTGGACGTTTGGGCTAGGATTGATTGTATCTGCGTTCGAGCATTATTTCTGGAAAACTGCCCTTTCGTAGCCTACAAATGAAATGTAACATGCTCACACAAAAGGTATGAAAAGTAATTGAAAACTTGCAGTAATTGCAACAAAGACCATACGTCACTGGTATTTACGCACCGTTAACTCTAAAGTATTTTGATGTTTCATAATGCTTTGGTTTTTAACACGATTATTTATTTTATTTTATTTCTATAACACAACACAAAAAAACCACATTGTGATTTAGGAGAGTGCTAAGATTCTACAAAAAGAAAGACTGGAAAATAAGAGGGATAAAGGAAGGAATATGAATCAGGGAAACGCCTAACAATGTGAGCAATATAAACAGATGCTCACCTGCACGATGGTCCCTTAGTACCACAACGGCATCACTGAAGGCGAGGTTAGGATAGTAGCTCCTAGTATTCTAGACCAGTGACAACTCCACGTGTGTCACATTGAAACTGACGAAGATCTGAAAGTTGGCCGATATGATGTCAAAATATTTTGGATGAATGATTTTTTTTTTTTTTGCAAGTTTGTGACAAATTAATATCTTTTGACAACTAAAATGAGTTTTTGGATGAGTTTTTTTTCAAGTTTGTGACAAATTGAAAGTGCCTTTGGATTCTAAAATATCTGCTATATGAATTTACTTAAGTAAATTGTAAATAGAAAACAAAAAATGTCAACATTTAGATCCAAACAGTAATTTAAAACAATCTGTCTAAGTCGTTGCACAAATTTTCAAGTTTGTTGAATTTGCATTGACAAAGGATTTGTAATATCTATAGAATAAAATTCTTTGTTCCCCCTCTACCCTGGCCCATAACTTACCTCAAAGGGTCCAAAATTAATGGTATCACAACCAGGCAAGGATCCTATATGCTGATATCGCTTTCTCCATTTCAGCCTTATGAAAGTGGTCCATCATCAGGCCAGGCGCTCGCGAATGCTATCTGCCTCAGCTTCAAAACAGAAATTCAGAAGACGTTAGTTTACCTACCCAACCCACAATCCACTAACATTTTTTTATTTTCGTCTATTTCTCTCTCCAATAACACGGATTACCTTTAAGGGTTTTCCATCTCAGTTAAACACAACATACCTTGGCCTCTCCCCCAATGCAGCCACCTCGTAGACGGACCATGGCGGGACTCGCTGGACGCTCCCCAATGCAGCCACCTCGTAGACGGACCATGGCGGCACTCGCTCGTCGGTTTTCCACTGCAGCCACCTCGTAGACGGACCATGGCAGGACTCGCAAGTCGGTTCCAAAATGCAGCCACCTCGTAGACAGGCTAAGACAGGACTCTCTGGCACCAAGGATTGATCGGAGTCGCTGAGGCATAGATGTGGCCCTCTTCTCCTTGCTGTAGTTGAAGCTCTATCGAAAATGGCCATAACCGAGTTCTGTCAACAGAAAAGAAAAACGGATTAATGACTTTTCCCACCTATGTCAGCAGTCTGCAGTCAGGCTTACCTTTAAGGGTCTTCCATCTCGGTGAAACACCACATGCCTTGGGCGTGTCCCCAATGCAGCCACCTCGTAGACAGACCATGGCAGACTCGCTGGACGCTTTCCCAATGCAGCCACTTCGTAGACAGGCTATGGCAGGACTCGCTGGCACCAAGAATTGATCGAAGTAGCTGAAGCATAGTTGTCCCTCTTATCCTTGCTGTAGTTGGAGCTCTATCAGGAATCGACATAACGGAGTTCTGTTAACAGAAAGAAAAACTGATTAATGACTTTTCCTACCTATGTCAGCATTCTGGAGTCATGTTTACATGTAAGGGTTTTTCATCTCAGTTAAACACCACGTACCTTGGACGCTTCCCCATTGCAGCCACCTTGTAGGCAGACCATGGCAGGACTCATTGGACGCTCCTCTAATGCAGCCACCTCGTAGACGGACCATGGCAGGACTCGCTCGTCGGTTTTCCGATGCAGGCACCTCGTAGACGGACCATGGCAAGACTCGCTCGTCGGTTCCCAAATGCAGCCACATTGTAGACAGGCTATGACAGGACTCACTGGCACCAAGGATTGATCGGAGTCACTGAAGTGTACATGTGGCCCTCTTCTCCTTGCTGTAGTCGGAGCTCTATCGAGAATCGCCATAACCGAGTTCTGTGAACAGAAAAGAAAAACGGAGTAATGACTTTTCCTACCTATGTCAGCAGTCTGTAGTCAGGCTTACCTTTTAAGAGTTTTCCATCTCAGTGAAACACCACATGCCTTGGACGCTTCCCCAATGCAGCCACCTCGTAGACGGACAATGGCAGGACTCGCTCGTCAGTTCCCAAATGCAGCCACCTCGCAGACAGGGTATGGCAGGACTCACTGGCACCAAGAATTGATCGAAGTAGCTGAATCGTAGATGGTGTACCTCTTTCCCTTGCTGAAGTCTGTGTAAACAAGTTGAAGAATGTGATAAACGCTTTTTGCTCTAAGAAATTTATTCTTTGAGTTTAGTAGGATATAGTTTCTTATCACTGTCTATATAAGAAATACAATAAAACACCGATAATACACAAATAGAGGGATAAGGGAAGATCTGAAAAAACGGATTAATGATTTTTCCTACCTATGTCAAACACCGCATGCCTTGGACGCTTCCCCAATGCAGCCACCTCGTAGAGAGGCTATGGCAGGACTCGCTGGCACCAATGATTGATCGCAGTAGCTGGCGCGTAGATGGTGTACCTCTTCTCCTTGCTGTAGTCAGTGCAAACAAGTTCAAGAATTTGATGAGGGCTTTTTGCTCTGAGAAAATTTATTCTGCGAGTTAAGTAGGATATAGTTTCTTATCACTGTCTATATAAGAAACACAATAAAACACCGATAAAACCCAATGAATAAGAGGGATAAAGGAAGATCTGAAAGTTGGCCGATAGTATGTCAAAATAATTTGCACGAGTGATGTTTTATGCAAGTTTGTGACTAATTGAAAGGGCTGTTGGATTATATGAATTTCCTTGAGTAAATTGTAAATAAAAAATGTCTACATTTAGCGAGTAGGCAGAAGTTTCAAAACGGTAATTAAGCCCTTGCATAAAATGCCCAGTTTGTTGAACTTGCATTGACAAATGATTTTTTATTTATAAAATCTATAGAATGAATGACAATTTAATTCATTGTTCACCCTCTATCCCTACCCATAACTTACATTGAAGAGGCTTTATCCCAATAGTATCACAACTAGGCAGGGGCGCTTGACATCCCATATCGCTTTTTCACCTTGTGAATGTGGACCATCATCAGGCCAGGCGCTCGCAGTGCCATCTGCCTCAACTTCAAAGACAAATTAAAAAGTCAGTTTCTCTCTTTACCTCTTCCCCCACCCAACCCACTCACCTTATTATTTTTATTCCAGAAGTGGGTCAAGGGGAAGATGCCTTGTGATAGCGATCTGTAAAATTAATGTGGCTAAGGGCTTTATCTCAAAAGTTCAGTAAGGTAAAAAATGACGTTAGTGTATTATGTTCCCCAATAACATGAGTTACCTTTTACGGCTTGGAAGGTTTCCATTTCAGTGAAACACCATATGCTTCTGATGTTTCATGCAGCCACCATGGCAGGACTTGCCACCCAGGGATTGAAGTGATAACATTTGCCACTCTTGTTGCAATTCTTAAGAAAAGTAAGGAGCTCTGTCAGGAGTTGCCATAATAGAATTCTGTAAATATAAAAGAAAAATAGCAATAGTTTTTTCCTTTACCTCCCTCTCACAGTGTTCTAATTTTGAAAAGTGGTTTATCCCAAAAGTGTGGTCAATGAACGAGGGAAATAAATTTTGTGGTGACAGTGGACCATTTCATAACAGTGCATGGCTTAAGGCTCTTCAGTGCTATTTACCAGAACCTTGAAATGAAAGTGACATTAGTTGTCACGGATCTAAGGAATTCATTTTGAATGACAGTGGACTAGCTGCCTCATGAAAAAGTTTAGGACCTCAATGTTATCAACCTCGCTCACCTCAAAATGTAAATAAACTTTTTAGCACAAATAAGTAAATTATGATTAGATGGTTTTTTCTACCAATCTGGCTTTGTGAACAAAGGTGAACTGTTGTCCAGTTTGTTGGATTTCCATAACTTGTGTATCAAAAGCTGTCTGCGGCATAAGCAGTAATTAGTTTTGTTAGAAAAACGAAATTGCTATCATTTGATACCAGTAATAGCCTAACTCTGGACTGCTCCATTTTTATCCTTTTGGTCTAAAATCAAAGACTAAGTTTTAACAACATTTTTGTGAAACCCGTATCAGTGATCTTAATGTGTAGCAATGAGTACCTGTGCCATGATGACGACACCAAACTGTGAGAAGTAAGCCTGCAAGTCATCGTCTGTGCTCTTTCAAGGCAAACCCAGCAATATCAGGTCACATCACTTCTTGCTGTCCATCTGCTTTGTTTCCACGTTCGTATTTCCCAGGGAATCGTCTCCTTTTCTTTTGTTCTCTAAAACGGTAACACTTTCCAATTATTTCTCAGACTGTTTATTGAATTACCAAGCCTTTGTTGTATCAACATCTCTATTTTCTGTGAAGTCAATGACTGTGACATATTAATGATTGCTTGGACTGTGTTTTTAGAATGTGTAAATTTAGTGTTATGATCATTAGCTTTTTTTTCAAAAGAACTTGATTTGATTCAAGTTTTTTTTTTATGTAACTGTTACTTCAAGGTTTGAAATAAATTCCACGGTACGTGTTGTTAATAATAATATTAAAATGCAATGCAGTCCAGTTTTATTGAAATTTGTATTCGGACCACTTAATCCCGATGCAGACTATTAGATTTCAGGAAAGTTGTAGTCCGAATGGCCAGTAAGGTGAAAAGTTTATGGCACAGACTGCAACTGAAAAAATCATTTTAAATATTCTATTTCTCTCCCCAACAACACGGGTTACCTTTAAGGGTTTTCTATTTCAGTGAAACACCACATACCTTGGACGCTCCCGCAATGTAGCCACTTCGTAGTCAGACCATGGCAGGGCTCGCTAGACGCTTCCCCAATGCAGCCACTTCGCAGGCTATGGCAGAACTCGCTGGCAACAAGGACTGATGGAAGTAGCTGAAGCGTTGGTGGTGTCCCTCTTCTCCTTGCTGTAGTGGGAGCTCTAACGAGAATCGCCATAATGGAGTTCTGTTAACAGAAAGAAAAACAGATTAATGAGTTTTCCATACCTATGTCAGCCCTCTGCTTCCTGGACCTGAAATAAGAAGAAACCTGGAATGCATGGAAATATATGCAATTGCACAACAACAATAAGCTGAGAACAGTAGAAAACCGATGATGTTTCCTGCGAAGATTCCTGAGCGACGATTCCTCGTGGAGAGAAACGAAGGTTTTAGCTGGCCAGCTTAGAGAAGCGTCGAATCCACCGTCCAGACGACTGTGTGCGCAAGAAACAGTACGCCGATGAGCGATGCGCTGACTTTGGAAGAGTAAAAATATCTGGAGAAATGTGAGTCGATTCCTGTGTCCTTTTTGCTTGATGCGGGGCGCAGCACATGGCATCCTTCTTGTTGTCCCAGATCTGCCTGCGTTGAGTGAACGAAATTTCAAAATTTCGCGCTTTTATACCTTCAGTGAAATATAGTCACATGGTGGCGTTCTTGTTGCCACCAATGGTCAACTTGTTCATAGGGGATGGCGTTTGATAGTGATGCACAGATTTGATAATAATATCTTATAAACATATATACATTTTCTACTTTGATAATTCTGTTTATCACTTAATTTTGTAATAAGAATAATAAGCACTAAGCAGTGACTTCGAAATGTACAGGCAAATTTGATGACAATTTCTGAGCAACATACCTTCTCCCCAAAATTATGATGGGCACAATGTCCGTTAAACTGGTACAGGTAGCCGTGAACTTCTCGCAGGCCACTGCAGTGCGTGTGTATTGGAACAC